TTGTTCACAGACTTAGGGTTTGAGAGCACACAAAAGGGAAAAGAGCAAATACAGAGAGAATAGGGTGAGTGAGAGTGAAGGTTTGAAAGTGATTGTGACAAAGTGAGGTATAAATAACCAACGGGGAGAAAACATGAATTTTAATTTTAATTAATAAAATAAACAAAATTATTAACAACATTAATGATTTCTAAAAAAAGGGGGATGGCGTGAAAATTTTGAACAGTTACCGATGTGACTCGCGCCTCAATGCATCAACTCAACCGTTTCAGCCCTTCAGATTTTGAACATGTGTTAAGCCTTAGAGAGTGACTTAGCGTTTAGGGTTGACAGATGTTGAAGTAGTGAATTGGTTGCTTCTATCTTTGAAATGAAGAATTTTTAGAAAATGTTCAGATCTTCTGGATAGTTTTTGAGACAATTTTCCTTCTCACTTCTGAAGAACTATTATTCAAATGTTCACGAAAAAAAATAAAAAAATTTTGAAGATTAAATATACAGAAACTACATTTTCATTCTCGGCATAATTCCATACTGAGGTGTTTCAGAATGAAATTAAATCTATCTTCAGCTAGGAGTTTAGTGAAAACGTCATCCCATTGATGGTCCGTGTCTATAAATTTTAAACAAAAAATTCCCTTATGAATATGGTCCTTAATGAAATGGTGTTTAATTTATATATGTTTAGCCCTATAATATAAAATAGGATTTTTAGAAATACATATGACAAAAGTATTATCACAAAGGATAGGAATGTTACTCTCATAAATATGAAAATCTTCAAGCTGGCTCTTCATTCAAAGCATCTGAGTACTGCATCCAGCTGTAGCTATATATTCAGCCTCAGTAGTTGATAATGCAATAGTGGATTGTCTTTTTTGCTGAACCATGAGATTAGGTTATCTCCCAAAAACCGGAAGCTTCCAGAAGTAATTTTTCTTTCTTTTCTACCTCAAGCAAAGTCTGCGTCACCGTACCCTACTAATTTATATTCTCTGGATTTTCTATACAAAGACCAAGATTAGTAGTACCTTTTAGATATTTTAAAATTCGCTAAACTGTTGTTAAGTGAGATTCTCTAGGATCTGATTGGAATCTGGCACAAAGACAAACATTATATAAAATATCAGGTCTTGAAGTTGTTAAATATACGAGATAACTAACCATACCTCTATAGAGCTTATGTTCTACTTTCTTACTTACCTCTTCCTTTTCCAGAATGCATGTAGGATGCATATAAGTTTTGGATGGCTTACTTTCTGACATATCAAATTTCTTCAGAAGTTCTTTAACATACTTTCTTTGACGTATGTAGCTTCCTTTTGGAGTTTGATTGATTTGAATTCCCAGAAAGAAGTTGATTTCACCCATCAATCTTATTTCAAATTCTGCCTCCATAGTGTTCGAAAACTCTTTCCCCGAGGAAGTTGGTGACTGGAGCAAAGGTTTATGTAAAGTATGTCCCTTCTTGCTGCCTATAACCTTGTGCAACCAGTCGTGCTTTGTTTCTGACAACTTTTCCTTTTTCACTTAGCTTTCTTCTGAGGACCCATTTAGTTCCAATGATGTTGAAGCCTTTTGGTTTAGGAACTAGATCCCATACATCATTTCTGGTAAATTGATTTAGTTCTTCCTGCATTGCAAGTCTCCAATCATTGTCTAGAAGTGCTTCATCTATGGAAGTCGGTTCGACCAGAGACACTAATCCCATAAAATATTCTTTAGTATTTCTAAATGTAGATATTGTTCTGATTGGATCATCTTTCTTTCCCAGAATCATGTTTTCAGGATGTGCTAAGTTGCTTCTGGATTATCTTTTCTGGATGGATTCTTCAAAAGTTGTTGTAATATTTTTGATGTCTTCTTATGTATTTGGCTGAAGTTCTGAACTTTTATTTTCTGAAGATCTGTCTTCAATACCTATAATTTGAACTTTTATATCTGCAAAAGATTCACCCTGCTTTGACTTTTAATAGCCAAGCTTATCATCAAATCTGACACTAATAGATTCTTCCATAATTCATGTTTCTATGTTCGATACTCTATAACCTTTTGAGCATTCAAAGTATCCTAACATGAAACACTTTTGTGCCTTAGAATTTGTTCTAGTCTGGCCCGAAAGCTTGAGTGGGCCCAATCTAAGACATCTCATAGGTGCCACCCTGTCGGGAAATACCACCCTCTAGCCCTCTTGATCCAGCTCCGATCCAAGATGCTTGTCGAGCATCTTCTTAGTCTTCCCGACTCCAGCATCGTGCAGACCACCAGGGACCGACCAGAAGAGATGCCCACAATCAGCCTCCTCCCTAGAACCAACGGCTAGTTGCGAGCACATCTTCCCGGTTTGACCAAGTCCTAGCAGTTACCTGATTTTCCAGACCTATATATCTAGGCAGGAAATCAGGAACCAATGGCCACGCGCCAGGGGAAGTATATAAACCCTCACACCTGTGAGGGCCAGGTATCACATACTTACTACTCACTACCTGATACTTTTCTAGTACCTTCTTTCTCTCGCTCTTACTTGATCCTTGGAGTACCTTGCAGGTACAACCCCCCATTTCCTCTGCCCGACTGAAGATCACCCTCCGGCCACTCTCCAGGTTTTGATCAACCGCAAGATTAGTGGCACCGTCAATGGGAATATGCTATCCCCATCTTTCTTCCCTCGGAACCTAAGATCAAAGCAACTCTTCTTTCAAGATCCATCTCTCATATCATGGCCGACCATAGCGATCTTTACCTGTCCAGAAAAACCATCCTTTCTCCTGCTCGCAAGACTGATGGGAGCCAAGAACACCCTCGCCTTGAGGACAAACTGGGCCCCCATGATAGACAAACTGCGTCCCCTGATTCCACTTACGTCCGACGTGGCGATGATCTACTCTTGGACGACGGACGTTCCAAGAATCTGCTGGGGAACTGCCGAAAATCTTGCAATCGGTTCCTATTCCTCTCAACACCGACCCGACCATGGCAGCACTGCTCTCTGCCCTAAATCAGACTAACGCCATCATCCTTCAACAAAACCAGAGAATAAAAGCCTTGGAAAACAGACGTTCAAAATCTCCTCCCTAGAGGACCTGAAGACGGAGTTCCTCCAATGCATCACCATCTAGGCGTGGACCACCGCCCAAGAAGGAAACACAATCTCACACCTCCTGTCCGAGATCAAGACTCCCATTCGTTTAAGAAGAGGAAAGATAACAGGTAGATTTATCGCGCTCGATTGCCCTCTCCCGAGACATTAAAAATGAAGGAGCTCCTCCCCTCGACGGGACCGCGACGACCGACGTGTGAGAAATCATCACTCTCCATCTCCATCTCCTACCAACAGTGAAGATGACGAGCCCCACGGTCCACTATCTAGGGAGATCACGGAAGCTCCACTCCCCGTCGGCCTAGAGAAGTCGCTCACTCTAGGGACCTAAGATGGCACGACAGACCCTGACAAGCACATCGAAAACATCGATGCGCTCCTCGACTATAGAGGGGTCAGGGGCGCCATCAAATGCAGGCTCTTCCTGACTACTCTCAGGAAAGGGGCGATGGCATGGTACAAAAGTTTTCCTGATGAATCCATCACCTCGTGGAAACAGCTCGGGAAGATGTTTTCAAGGCATTTCACTGCCTCCTGCCGATACCCTAAATCAGATCTTCGCTCGAGGAAATCATACAAGGCAGAGACAAATCTCTTCGAGCCTACATTGAGCACTTCAACAAAGAAGCAGTCTAGGTCCCGACTGAAACAACAGCTGAAAATCATCAAACAATGAAGTCGCCATCGAACGTATTTTATCCCACATGAAGGGAAAGGTAAACATCGAGAAAAACTGATAAGGGAGAAGTCACGATCTTGCAACCAAGACCGATCGGGTAAGGGAGTCTGTTACGCGAGGGGAAGGTATTAACACCCCACACGCCCGTAGTACTCTATGGTATCCATTCTTGTTGTCTATCTTATGGGTGTGTTTAATCTATGCTTACCGTTTACTACTGTTAAAGGGAGAATGCATGCAAAAGAAAGAAGAAAAGAATGTATGGAAAATAAAATTATACTCGCTTGGCCCCTACCTCAATGCCTACATATCCTTTTTGAGGAATCAAAGCTACCGTAGTTTGGCTCACATGTTTTTGTTTGTTTTGTCTTTTTTATGGACATAGATAATTCCGGCTTCTGCCGTAGCTCGACCTTCGGAAACCCATGCGTTGGCACAAAATTAAACTAATCATGCCCTTACCTGAAAAGGGTTTTAGAGAAAAGGTGCTCGAGCGCACAAAAATATTTGAGTTGGTTTGTATTTTGTTATCTTGAAAAAGGGTTTAAGTATGATTAGCATGTTTTTGATTTCCTAAGAAAAGAAGTTTTAGTTTTAGATGCAGGGATGCAAAAAGGGGAAGAAAAGAGTCTAAGGGAAACTAGCCTATTTCTAACCTAATGTTATCATACAATGGTAGTCCTACGTCAAGGATGAAAGGGGAAATTTCTACCTAATGTTAGCATGCATGGCTTACAACCTAAGGTCTAACTTGCATCTGAACGGAGCAAGCGTATCCTAAGGGAACATGGTATGTACAAGGATAGAGCAAGCAAGCTAATAAACTCAAGAGAGCACACCTAGAGAGATCCTATCTAGGTTAGTATGCTAAAGAAAGTCTAATAAAACTATCCTATAGGGAACATGCAATGAGAGTGAAGTCGTGATCTCAATTTCTAAATTGAGTGACTCATCGATCAGCAAGAAATAACAGAAAGTAATAAAATCCTATAGGGAGCATGCACTGAGAGGGAAGTCGTGATCTCATTTCCTAAATTGAGTGACTCATCGATCAACAAGAATGTAAACAAACATAAGCACAACACATATAGTAAATGAAGTGTGGAATGCCTACTAAGGGTGTTTAAACAGCGACTTCGAGCGCACGCTCTTTATTTCCTACTTCTCATGGTATCTAGAAAAGCGATAAAGTTCGGAAATGAGGAATAAAATAAGGTCACGATGATACCGAACGGAGAAGGTCTGTTGCCTCTTCAAAACCACACAAGCGATAAGAAAACTCTACGGAAGCTGCTTCGCACGAGTGATCAAATAATTAATCTCCAAGCATTCCACATTGCTAAATTTACATCGACATTCTATCGCAAAATCTTAGCTAGAAAATGACAACGAAAATTATTATTAAACATGAAAATAATAGAAAACTCTAATGAAAATTCTAAAGAGATTACCTAAAGAGTTCTAAAATTTTATAATATTTTGGGATCATTTTTATTATCAATTAAAAGAAGAATTAAGCTAAAATAAAAACTAAAATAATAATAAAAAGAAAGTTAGAAGAGTCAGGGGGTGCAAGCTAAATTCAGGAGGTATAGTCCAACAATCAGAAGTCTGGGCACTAAGCCCATTCTGTTTGATCCCTTAAGGACAGGTTGTGGTATCAAAGGCCCATACAAGGAAGTCCAATAGCAGTACTTTTTTTGCAAGCACAATCATCTGTTACAAAATTGTTCATGGGCTCGATGCAAGCATATTTAGTCTAACGCCCATCCGAAGTGAATTTTCAGCCTGAAAGCTCAATTATTGTTAAAATTTGAATAATCAAAATAAAAATGATAATATATAAAAGAAAGAAGAGTAAAGCGGTGAGTTTGGAGAGACATTAGGGTTAAGAAAGTTTGTGACTATTCGGATCCTTGTTCACAAAGAACTCGCTTCCTCTCAGACGGTGTGACTCTTCCTCTCTATTGTTGATCACGCGTTCACGGTGATTCCGCCATCAACGAACTCAACTCATCTTTTATCTGTTCAATCCCCTTTTACCTCTTCGCTCTTGATTGACTCGCTGCCAAACTACTCGTCATATTCTTCCGCTTCCGATCGACTCTGCTCAGTCTCTTCTTCTCTGTCTCCAGACTGTTCTTCTCCATCTCCAGACTGTTTACTTAGCCATGAATCCTTTTCTACTTTTGTCTCTTTCAATATCTCCGTCTCTACAAGAAGGAGGCTTGTCTCATTGAGTGTTGCAAAAAAAAATTGTGAATTTGGAGAGAAAACCAGAGAGTCTTGCATATTCAGGTACTTTGCTATGTTCTCTTGCTTCTCGCTCTATGATATATGTTTATTGATCTCTTGTGTTGCTGTGTAAAACTAAGTGTTTCATTGAAAAGTTAAGAGTTGATACCACGTGATGATTGTGTTTCTTTTGCAGAGATGTTGATCGAAAGAAAAACAATGATGATTGTTGAATCGATTCGCAGTTGCAGATTCTTGATGTATCATTGATTCTTGTTGGTGAAGCCTTGATGATACTGCTGAATCGTTCGCGTTATTGCAAATACGAAGAAGTTAGAGATAATTGACGTGTTGCAGTGATGCGTATGCTGTTGCAGAAACAATGAAGATTGAATGTGGTCACGTTGATGTTGCTGATGCAGTCCAGAGCTTGAGGCCAGTTGAAATAATCAGTTGTGGAGAAGAGGTTTTTGAAGATTGAAGAAGATGATAACATAGATGAAGGGGTTGCAATGAGAATGAAGATGAAGAGCAGAAGTTTGTTACAAATTTTTTTTTAGTTTCACTGTGGTTATTCTGAGAGTGGAAAGGCCATTGAAAAAAGGTGTGGTTCTGTTTATATACCCTGTTATATTCTATTGGTGAAAGAAGTTAGAGCCTTTAAATCTATTGGTTGTTAGTTATGCAGTTAGAATTCAGTTATGGAATTGGTTAGGCGGTTAGGTTTTGGTTCAGTTTTGATAGTTGGAATTCTGTTAAGAGATGTTAAAACCGCTACATTGTTTTTTGATCCAGTTATTTTCTGAAATTTACAGGGCTTATGCAAGGCTGGCAAAATGTTTTTATTTGGGCTTCATATTGTTGTATTAGTTTTGTAGTTTAGATGAGCTGCTTCTGTTTGGTATAGAGACTGTTTTGAATGGTATTGATGATGTAAGTTTTGATGCAGGTTCTTCCTTATAGCTATGATGCTGGAAACTTGAAGTTCAAAATGAGCGTTAATATATAGATGATTTAAAGGCATGTGGTTTATACTGAAACTTGGCATTGTGGCATTCTAGTATGAGCCTGGTCCAATATAGTAGTGCACGAATTTTCTGTCTGGATTGATTATGTGGCGACGTATAGGACGGGTATATCAAGGTTGGAACATGGCAGGTGAAGATGAATGTAATAGTGTTTGGTCTTGTGTATGGAACAAAGAATGTTTTAACAAGTTATATGTACCATGCATACCGCAAATTGATTCGGGTATTTGAGATAATCATGGTCTTCTGCAAAGCATTTGAAGATAACAACTGACGAACAACCATGTCTTGGGGTGGTGGGTTGATTTTGGCCAACTATTTGAATCAGTAGGTCAAACTTTGTATAATTTCCAATGTAACATATTTGCAATGGATGTTTGGTATTTATAATTGATGCTCTTAATTAAGTATTGGATTTTAAAACATGTAAATAACATTTTTCCTTCACATAAGCTCGAATCCTTTTCTCTTTCTAATTATTTCATGGACTTGAACTTCCAAAGCCTTTTTCATAATTCTCCACAAGAAATGAACCATGTTCTTTATCTTACAAACTTTAACGAACCCATGGATGAAAGCCCAATAATATCTAATAAGAAGACTTATGGCCCAAGTAATGAAGCGCCATTTCAACTGATTATGAGGAGCAAAATGAACATGTGAACCTTATCCTGTCCTGTACGCATCAAATCTTGCACAAAACTTGTACCTTATACCACTACTGAGATCCTCTAATTATCGCATGAAATAGGTAAATAAACCCTAACTCATACCATGACGTTGAAGAAACAACGTGAATTGCTCTTGAATGTAGATGAAAGCCTCAACCCCAAAGAGAAACCCTAATTACCAAGCCCATGATCCTAATGCCAATTTTATTGACTAATGAAGCCTGGTTTTTTAGATGACTTAATGGAAGTTATGTGCATGCGAAAAGTGCGAGATGCATAGGCCAGATAAAAGTGAAAGGGTAGGACTAATTTGGGGTATTACACCGACAACAGACAACATGAAGAAATTTCTACTCGAGCGCGGGCTCCATCCCCGCAGCGACTTTGCCAAGGCTGTGGGAATATAAACACCAGCCACGCTCAATTCCATACTCCTGAAGGCCCAGGCGTACATACAGTACGATGAGAAGGAGGCGGCCAACAGCGCCCGAGAATCAAGGCACAGGGAGAGCGCCAGACCCTCAAAGAATGATGAACCCTCGACATCCCGTCGGGGGGAGAAGAAACGGGAGGACATATCCCGTGACCCAAAAGATTACAAGGGGCCGGTCGGTCGCTTCCACGACTACACACAGCTGACAACCTCGAGGGAGCGTATTCTTTCCGAATGCGCTAATTCTGAGTTCAAACAAGCTGGGGTGCGCTTCCCCCAACAAATGTCGTCGAAGCCACGAACCGACAAAAGAAAATACTGCAGGTTCCATAAGAGTCACGGCCATAAAACGGAGGATTGCATTCACCTCAAGGATGCAATCGAAATATTAATTAGAAACGGGCACCTCAAGCAGTACAAGAAAAAAGAGGCCGCTCGCAACGAAGCACCAAAGACGAAGAATGTCGAGGAAGGGAAGAAATTCCCCGACCTCGACACCATTCTGGTTGCCGTGAGCATCTCACGGCCGGAAGATTTATAATTTCCAAATATGGAGGATATCCCCCTGTACTTATCCACCCACAGTCAGTGGGAATCCTTCCCCGTAGCTATGGTCATTTCCGGCAGAGGGTTCAACAGGAATACGGTCAGATCAGTGAAGAGAAGGTTCGACCAACTCATCGAAGCCAACTCTGAGATGGACGCCACGCTCGACAAGTTTCGGGGAGGATCTCACCCCATCGCATTCTACAAAGAAGCGTTATCAAGAGGAGCCCTGAATTCGAGCATCCCACTACTCGTGAGAGCTCGAATGGTTAACTTTGACGTGCGTTGCATTCTGGTCTACCAGGGCAGTTTGGTGGACATCATGCACGCCCAACTGTTCAACACTTTGCAGCTGAAAGAGAGCCACCTAACCCCCTACGTGGGTTCTGATCTTCAAGGCTTCAACGAGGCCAGCATGAAGACATGGGGGTACGTGGAGCTGATCGTCACCTTTGGTAGGGGGATAACGGCCAGAGCCATCAAGACCCAATTCTTTGTGGCAGACATCCCATCTCTCTACCAATGCATCTTCGAGGGACCCACACTCACCAAACTCATCGCAGTCCCCTCCACCGTTGACCTCAAGATGAAATACTACACGACCGAAGGTTTGGTTGCCGCTCTTCACGGGGACATCCAAGCAGCCAGGAGGTGCTTCGAAGCTTCTGGGAAGGGCCTCAGCTCCATCAATGCCCAGCCTCAAACAGCCACTAGAGCCATGCTTCCCTCCAGCTCCGAGGAATCCAAGACGCTGCCGAGGGTCGACGCCATTGACCTCGACAGTCGCTTCTCCATGGAAAATAAGGTCGAGCAAAGGAAGAAAGGGAAAGAGCCTATGGTCCAAGACGAAGGGTCAACCTCCTCTGCTGGCCACAACGAGCTCTAAAGACACGCATGGCCTATCTCGGACGGTGACTTCGAGCTGGTTCCCCTCGGAGAAGACCCCACCAGAGGAGTAAAGATCAAAGCGAACCTCCCCGACCTGGCGAAGAGGTAACTCAAATATTTCCTATGGGAGAATGCTGATATCTTTGCCTGGAGTGCGGCTGAGATGCCCGGTTTAGACCCTGAGGTCGCATGCCATCACCCGACCATTGATCCCACCGTCAAGGCAGTCGCGCAGCGTAGAAGAAAGCAGTCGACCGAGAAGTCACAGGCTACTGAATTAGCTGTAAAAGACCTCCTAGAGACACATTTTATTTCTGAAGCTCAGTACTCAACCTGGCTCTCCAATGTAGTCCTTATTAAAAAATCTAATGGAAAATGGAGAAAGTGCGTTGACTATACTGATCTCAACTGGGCTTTCCCGAAATATGCTTATCCCCTCCCCAATATTGACAAACGGGTCGACAATTCGGCCGGTTTTAAACTGCTATCTTTCATGGACGGATACTCTGGTTACAACCAGATTCCCATGGAAAAAACAGATAAGAAATAATACGCTTTCATGACCTAGTTGGGAAATTATTACTACAACGTAATGCCCTTTGGCCTGAAAAATGCGGGCGCTACCTACCAGCGCATGATGAACAAAGTATTTTCCAATGAAATAGGCAACATGCTCGAAGTCTACATGGACGACATGATCGTCAAGTCCATTGAAGAGCTCGACCATGCCGCCCATTTGAAAAAAGTGATCGAGCAAGCCCGAAAATGCCAGATGCGATTCAACCCAGAAAAATGCACCTTCGGCGTACGAGCGGGAAAGTTCCTCGGGTTCTATCTGACAGAATGAGGCATCAAGGAGAACCCCGACAAGTGTCGGGCTTTCCCCGAATTTCCGATGCCAACCTCGAAGAAATCCATCAAGTTCTTAAATGGCATGCTCACTTCCATTGCTCGATTCGTGGCTAAATCTGCCCAGCACGCGCTTCCCTTGTTCAAACTCCTGTGCAAGGAAGTCGCCTTCGAGTGGACGCCCAAATGCAAGAGAGCCCTCGCCCATCTGAAAGGAGCGCTCTCACAGCCACCCGTGTTGTCCCGGCACGGGAAAGACGAAGTCCTCTACCTTTATCTAGCTGTCGCCTCCGAGGTAATAAGCGCGACAGTAATAAGGGTAACCCCGAAGGGACAAAGGCCAATTTACTTCACGAGCAAAGTCGTGCAATGCCTGGAAGAAAGATACCAACAAATCTAGAAAGTATCCCGGGCCCTCGTGAACACTGCGAGGAGGCTAAGACACTACTTCCTGGCCCATACCATAGTGGTCCGGACGGATAAACCAATAAAACAATTGCTCGGAAGACCAGATATGGCCAGAAGGATGCTAAAATGGTCTCTGGAACTCTCTGAATTCGACATCCAATACGAAAGAAGGAAAGCCCTAAAGGCTCAAGCCTTAGCCGACTTCATAGCAAAAATGACCTCACACGGGGATCCGAAAGGTTCGCGCTGCTCGACCGGAAGCGGCGCGGGCATCATATTAGAAAACGAGGAAGGGACCCTGGTCGAAGTTTCCCTCGCTCTGTCTTTTCTGACCTCCAACAATCATGCCGAGTACGAGGCATTCCTCGTAGGCTTATGACTAGCCGAAGATCTGGGAGCCGAGGAAGTAAAAATCTTCACCAATTCTCAGTTGGTCGCCTCGCAAGTCTGAGGTGAATATCAGGTCAAAAACAACCAACTCACCGAATATTGGGCCCTGGTCCAGGAGGCGAAAAAGAAATTCAGGTTTGTGGACATTCAACACGTTCCTCGCGAACACAATGCTCGTGCATACGTCTTATCCAAACTGGCGAGCACAAAGAAGAAGGGAGGAAATAAATCTGTAATACAAGAGGTACTCCCTCGGCCGAGCACCCAGAAACCATCTGCCACC